GACGCGCTTACAGCGCATATTTTATAATTTACTTTCGTACGGGTACAGTCATTTATTCCGTCGGCCGACCATTATGACAAACCAGCGGCGGCGGCGTATCCTGCGCGTCATTGCGCCAGCCGGTTACGAGAGCCAATTTTCGCGAAGAATTAATTTACGCCCTCATAGGGCGAGCATTGCCGTGCACTTCGAAATCACTCGTTTTCGCTACGGGCGTTCCGATGCACGCATAAGTGCGTGTGCCTTGTCCCGGGACTCGTTACAGGAATTTCATCGGTTCTTATCTCACGCGAAGCTCATGTAACCACCGCTACCTGACCGATTGCAAAACGCGTCGATAGGTGACAGCCAGTTAAGACGATCTTCGGGAACAGTATTTATACCTGGACGCTTATCGTCTGACACCGACTTTTCGCAAACAGGTAACGACGTGAGCGTTGAATCGGTTAAATTAATCTGTATGTTATCCGATTTTGCAATTTTTGGTACACGCGATGACAACGAATAAAAGAGACAAGTACATGTAGTCGAATTTGTAATATGTACGAAGATTCAAGAGCAAAGGGACAAGTTATTGGCCGATACAAGTTCTGAAAAGACGGAATACTGAATAATACTGAATAATATTTGCTTCTTCTTTGTACACCTTTTTACAATAAAGATTGGTGATCTTATAGTCATCCTTATGACTATATAGTTGAATTTTGGAGACTGCTGTACGAAAGATGTCTGCTGATATACAATCAAATCACTGTATTTTTGTCAAGAGTTTTGATTAATATCTTATCCAAGATTTTTCCTTCAATAATTAATCTATTTTATTATTTACAATATAATTAAAAATAAGTAGTTAGTAACTTATTTTGTTATCATATTTATTTAATATAAGTAATAGCTTTTACGATTATATTAAAAGTAAATAGTAATAAAGCACTTGAAAACTTGATTCAGTCCATAAAACTGATATGAATTGATTAGGGTTATGTTCGATGAGCATATAATATCTTTTAGTTAAATATCTGTTGTAAACCGACATTGCGTACCTGGCATATTGCAGTTACATGTCGGTTATCATGTATATTACACAATAAGGTTACGGTTCTATTATATATCTACATTTCATGTAATGAACATGACAATTGAAACAAGTTTGTGTAGTAACAGACACGTATTTATTTGATATCAAATATATTGTACATTCGCAATGATAACCATTGTTATCGTCTTATAACAGTTGGCTCTCCGAAACTAATTGGAAAAACGTCCACTATGTTTCGCGCTGTATGGGATTATTAAATTTGTGATTTTTTATTACATAAATGCTGTATAAATAAATATGCATACTTTTAATGCTATAATATATTATATATTGCCGAAAAATTAAAATTTTTTCTTTGGAGTTATCATCTTTATTGATAATCAAACTCAGATGGTAACATTAAAATCACAGTTTCCAATAAAATTCAAGTATCATTAAGTTTTAAATGTACATATATGTCTATGAAATTAGCAAATCATGAAATTAGTATTGTATCATTAGTTTCTTATTCTTAATTACTTAAATTTGAACACGCGAATTTTCATAAGCGCCGATAATTTTTAATAATAGGTTTGTTCGAGTCGCATGCTCCAACATGCTTCAATATGCTCCTATCATAGATTCAACTCACTCTAATGCACTCATTAGAGCGACTAAAAATTATAGCAACAGTATGTTGGAACATGTTGGAGCATGCGACGTGAACAAACCTAGTATCTCATCGATTGCTACGTTCAGCAGAACACAACAGCAGAACAGTTTTGCAATCGTTTTATGTATTGTTTACTGAGATAGGATTATTCTTTTAGATCTAAAAGTATAATCCAATCAACGATAAGAAAACTTGGAAGTGCAAAATAAACGTTCTGCTGAACGCAATCATTGAGGGCGTTCAAGTTGACAAACCGGCTAGCCTGCTCGCCGACAAATGAACATAATTGATTGTTACTTATAGATTTAAACAATCATATACAATCGTTCGGTAAGCATGACTAGCCGCTTTGCTGTTTTGAACTCGCCCAATATTTATTTTCATTTCTTCTTATATTTCCGCGAGCATTCCTGTCGCACAGAGGCGATTTCTCACCAAAGAAATATCGCTTGGTCCTGATTTTCATATCCCCTCTCACCTTACGTGCGTGTAACAGAAATATTAACACAAAACGGAGCCTGACATTCCACATCCCTCGTCCTGCTAAGATTTCGTAGAATCCGAAACGAGACAAAAACACAGCACTGAAGAGACATATTCAAACTAAACATACCAATATTTATATTCCGCGAAAGAATGATACTTCTGTTTTTGACCTTCTGGAGTTTATGCTTCTTCATATCGTTTCTATACCTTCAGTGATTAAGTCCGATTAAATGCTTTAAAATTCCGTAATACAAAACGCGCAATTATAATGGCGGACCAGCAATTAAAAGACAACAAGATCCGAGTATTCAATGTCCGAGTTCGTCAATATCTGCGTAAACATTTCATACCATCAAAAGTGGAATATTTCACAAATTGCAAATATTGTTTGTCAAGAATAAGTTATAGAAGCATCTATTCTTTATTACTCGAGCACTTGACCATGTACCATCCGCAAGTATTAACAGAAGAACAGAAGACAGAACGTAACATTCATTGGGCATGGGATTATTTTACTCAAACATCATCTGGCGATGCACAGTGCAATATATGTAGTAAAATATTGAAAGGTTGTAGAATCGATAATTTAACGACGCATCTTGATTTACACAGGGACAAGTAAGTATACAATAAGTATATTTTGAACAACTATGAGAAATAATATAGGAATTCTTTTACGGAGTTTTGTGCACAATTGATATCATTATCGTATTTCTTACTTTTATTGTTACTCCTTATATAGACATAAAATCTTCGATCCAGACGAAGTTATTTACGAAGATACTTATATGTTTGGCGCAAGTACTAGTACAAGCGGCAGTATGATTGAGGTTGCGGAATATCAGGAAACTACAATAGCTTCTAATTTGACCGATGACACGGATAGAACACGAGTTCCTAACGAGTAATTATTCAATTTAAATTAATTTTAATTCATGCTAATAGATCTTTCGAATCAATTTGTATTTTTTCCCTATTCAAATATAATCTATATGATGTTGTGTATAACACTTATTTATTAAGCGTTTCATTAATATTTATATAATAACCAATTAATGCCAAATTATTTCTCCAATTTTGTTATACTATTTTATATAATATTTTATACGATACTATATGTATAATATGTTATTATAGTTTCCGCAGCCATACTTATTTACAAACATTTTTCATATTCAGTTTATGTGTATTTGCATTAACTGGAAAAAAAGTACTTCTTCTATCACTGCTAAATATTCATGTGTGATCAAATT